CTTATTTACTACAAGGCATGATTGAGCCTGTAGTAAAATAACGGATATAATGTCAAAACAAAATACGCGCCAATACGTAAAATTGTTAGGTTAGTTATCTGTCAAAAAACATAATATTTGTGACCATAGATAAATTAGCCAACATTCCTAATACATTTCTTGATAGTATATTATAGATAGTATTAGGCCATCGTGTGTAACATTATTTTTTATTTCTAACTATTTCCTCAAAAGATAACCGTAATCGTTTCGCGAAATACCGTATCATGCTGAGTGTTTACAAAAATGTGTTTTATCTTGCACTTTTGATATAGTACAATTCAAGTTCATATCAACATATTTATTTACATCCACCTGACAAATAAATAAAAAATGTATGTATCCATTAATATTTGGGGTCTGAATGTATGTGATTTTGTATGTTTGAAACTACACCACTACACTAAAGACAACAGTAACTTGGACACCGGGCCACATGTAAAATACGACCAAGTCTATATAAAAAAAATTGCGTGAATAGAAACGCTATTTGGCTATTTTGTCTATGAGAAAGACTACACAATAGCCGTAAAATTTAAATAAAAAAAAAAGAATATAGAAGACACTTTTGAAAAAAATAGAATAAAAGAAGTATTGCATTTTCAACATATTTTCGCATCGTTTTTGTATACTTAATAGACATTTAAATAAAAACAAACGCTGGTCAAGGTTACTTTATTAGGTACTGTAAAAATACAAGTGATAAAACCTTAGGTACCCATGAAACATTTAACTTTCTTCGTTAGCCCAATTATCTAACGTGACAAGAATTTCTAGTTACTCAAGTGATGCCAAACAGGTCTGTCAGGTCAGGACAGTTCTAGATTCCGTGATATTAGTGAAAATAGTTAGGATAGGAAGGGAAGGTCTCGGAAGCCTAATTCTTCACACCTTCAAACGTTCAAACATAACCCGCGAAAGGATTTTTTTAGGGGGAAATCACTAAATTACTTCTTTCGCCAAAGGTAAGCGAGAGAGAGAGTGTCAGTCTCTTACTGACAAAAAACTCCACCTCTCGGTTCTTGAGCCTGATCTCGGGCTCTGAGGCCAGAACCGGGTACCTTATTGCGCTTGGTAACGCGCTTGTAACTTGTAACTCCCTGTAGTGTTGCGGGTCCCTTTTTTGAGAGGATAAATGATCTAATAACTTCTCTCATTCTTGGTGGGTTCGACACAATTTCCACTCATAAAATTTTATTTTATGTAATAGGTCGGCAATCAGCGCCGCCCATGAACATTCGCAACGGAGGAGTTACGAGTGCGTTACCGACCTATTAGGGATTTGGATGTTTAGGGACTGGGGAGAGATTAGGGAAGGGGAAGGATTGGGCCTCCGGTAACCTCACTCACACGGCGAAACACAACGCCATGGTTGTTTCACGCCGGTTTTCTGTGAGGCCGTGGTATCGCTCTGGTCGAGCCGACCCATTCGTGCCGAAACATGGCTCTCCCACACTTCTGCCATTTAAACACTTTTAGTAGAATCTTGTGTCGTCTATATATTTCATTTTCACGATCTTAATTTCCAAACCTTTGAGTGTAGTCTTCTACCATTTATCACCAAGTGTAGACGTGACCAAAACCCCAACAGCGTTCAATTCAAACGATTGAAGAATGAAATGAATGTCAACATAGTAATAGTTACCTTGAAGAATGTTTTACGTAAATGTTTGATACGAACCTGTTTGCTTGTGCAATGCTCATGGAACACTTTGTCGACCCTATGACACACTTAACTAATTGTTAATGTAACATTTCCTTTCCATTTTGAGCATTAGAAAAAATTAAATAAATATATGTACAGTCAGGGGTCAAAAATGCAATTACACTCTACCAATTTTAATATGACTAAATTTTTATGTACCTAGTAAAAGTTTAATGGTTCACAGCCAGTTTATTCAATAATTTAGATTCTATGCTATAAATTAAAGCAGTCCAAAACCATTGACTCTAATCTATAAAGATATTTTCGTCATTTTAAAATTGGTAAAGTGCAATTGCATTTTTGACCCCTGACTGTACATGAGTGTCAAAACTCAATAATCATTTTATTCGCTAAAGCTTTAGATAAGGAAGGAAAAAGGACTTGTTCTGTAACAGCTGTTTATTTTAATGTTATAGAAACAATTAAGCCTGCAACTTCCATGAGACGAAATAATAGATGACACGTTCGGCACGTTTGTCTCCTATACCACCTACTCATGATTATGAGCCCCTAGCTTCACTTGAAACAAGACGAGTCACGTCAAAAGTAAAGTGAGAAAGCTTTAGATCAATTATTCACTTAGAGACGTCAATACGTCATTGAGCATTTTAATCTAAAAAAAGTCGGTTTTCTTACTCGGCTTACGCTTGCAGACACGAACTTAACTATGTATGTAGATTACTACTTCTTGCCCGATTCGATAACAACCAAAAAGGATTCAGTCTGCAAAGAGTTTGATACGTTGCCGCCTTTTTAGAAGCTTAGGAATAGGTTCTAGGTATTAGGCCATTAGGGGATTGGAGGGGTGTGGACATTAGGCCTCAAGTAATTTCTGCTGCTTGAGTTGCGACTAATTTGATACAATAAGAGAACAGTATTATCAATTATCACTAATGCAAATAACATAATTAAATTCGTACCTATAGCAACAAATTAAACAGCATGTTGAGCATAATTATCTTGAACAATAGATGTAGTAATTAATGTAAAAGATAAAAAATAATTCATTATGTTTCCTTTATTACTTATTTAACCTTTGATCCTTTTGAGTTTGTTCTAATAGTGAGCCTATTGCGTTCCAGGTTTACTCAACTATTCAATTTATTAGAAATACAGTCAAAAATCGTATCTCTTACATGGTTATATGGTTCTTTATTCTTTATCTGGGTAGATTTATCTGACATACGTTTCGGTTCTTTTTTTTATGGAATAGGTCGACAAACGAGATTAAGATAACGGATTACGTGATGGTAAGTAATCAGCGCCGCCCATGGACACCCGCAACGGAGGAGTTACGAGTGCGTTGCCGACCTTAAAGGGATTAATTAGGGTTTTGGAGATTAGGGATTGGGAGGGATCAGGGGAGGGGAAGGATTGGGCCTCCGGTAACCACACTCACACGGCGAAACACAACGCTGTGGTTGTTTCACGTCGGTATTCTTTGAGGCCGTGGTATCACTCCGGTCGAGCCGACCAGCCGGCCATTCGTGCCGAAGCTTGGCTCTCCCACTCTTAGGTGTACGTCGTAATCTATAACCTAAAAAATTGCAAAATTAGCTAAACTATAGGTCGCGGGTCAAGCAATAATGTAACCTCGGACTTGGACTGCAGTTGGAGAAATAATAGGGTGGCTTTTAGACATTAACACCCGGTTTCTGAAACGCTTGTCAACGCTAAAATTAACTAATCTCCTGTTAAATCTCTTGTCAAGTCATCTAATTGGTTGTTGATAATTCAGTCAACCAATCGGATGACTTGACAATATATTAAATTGATTTTAACATTGATCGGCCTTTCGGAAACCGGGTGTAAGAGTCTGACACTCCCCTAGTTTCGCATTCAGGGCATAAAAATTCATTGGATCATTTCCTCGTCTCAATAAAAAATAAAATAACAACAAAACACAATAACAAAGGCTAATTTATACGCGTCTACTTATTTCTTTTTCTTTTATGTTTTTCTCGCGTTAGGTTATACTTACATATCTACGCACTACGCAAATCCATCGTCAATCTAACAAATACAAGGTTAAGGTTGAAGATACTACCGTATCATTTGCAACCTTGTTACCAAGGGCGTAAGGGTAATAACCGCTAACCAAGAACGTAATGACAATAATGTACTAAACATTTGACTTGATAATTGATTGTGACTATAGTTTTTATGTAACTTCTTAGTTAATGTTAATATTTGAGGTCATCGTTATACTCAAAACCTCTTTGGTACAAACTGGAACCGATTCTACCACGGAGACTGAGTCTTTTACGCGCCTAAATTTAAAATCGCCTATATATAAAAATAGTTCCCATCATTATCCATCGTATCACTACGTCACATTAGGCATATCGAGTGATCGTCTTATCGATCCTATTTTATCGATTAGCTTACCTCCAACAGATTATGCAAATGTTAATTTTATCGCCTCACTATCTAAGAATTGGCACACACACACGCATACACGCTTACACACTTGACTGAACCTAGAATACAATCGTAAATGACGTTAAACCACGCCCATTTAATAAAAGACTGGCTTAACAGTTGTGCACTTGTTGTCTATGCAAAGTTATGTCAGATTGTAAGTATAGTAATAAGGAAGTTGTGCCATTACGATATTATTTATAAGGTTGTTTCTGGTATAGGGCGGGAGGATACAAAACTGCCTATAACATTAGAGCAGTTACATGTACGTTGCTCGCTGCTTGTGAGTTAAAGATTAAAGGATCGAGGATTTGAGGAATTGGGCTTCATTAACCTCACTCGCACGGCATAGCAACGCTTATATTACCTATTATAGCTTACCAATATTATTGAACTAGGATAGTAGACTTGTCTAATGTACAAAAAAATTGTCAGGCTTTCCTAAATACTTTAATACAAATACAATTTGTGAATGTATTTGTAGCACCTACCATATTGTGTAAAATATTAAACACTAGCTACTCTCGAGCGGTTTCACGCAGCTCGGCGCTATTTGATCGTAGCGTAATGTTTTATAGCCTATAGCACTCAGGAACATTGTTAGTAACTATCTATCAGTGAAAGAATTTTGGGAATCCGACCAGTGGTTCCAAAGATTACCCCCCTACATACAAACTAATATTAGTATAGATTCGTTAATTTGTCAGAATAATGGTCCTATCTAAGCAAACTCTCTTCCAGTCAGTCCCTTAAAATTCTAATAATGATATTAATTCCACTTATATATTTTCCAAATCTTGTCCGAATCTAAAGAAAAATAATGTCTTTGTTTCAGGGCTTCTTAAAAGCGCTGCACAATCTAAACGACCATTTCGGCAACATGTACCTCAACGTTGGCGAACCGCTTTCAGCCAGGGAATTCTATAAGCAGAATTCTAACGTATTGAATTCTTCAGAGACGTCTAAGCCCATGGATCTGCAAGCTGTCACACCGGAACAGTTCAAACAAGTTCAGTCCCTTGCAGACTACGTAATAACGCTGCAACAAAAGAATACAGTCGCCACGATCTCCAACCTCGTTGCACTCGTGCTTATGCAGAGCCTCATGAAGAACGAACCCCTAAAACTTGATGAAGTTTATACAGAAGTTGAGTGGATGATCCAAGAGTTGAGGATCTTAGGAGCTAAGGTCTTCGAGAATGATGTAAAGGGAAGCGTCGACAGGATCCTGGTGGTGCACCAGAAGATGATGAAGTTGGACCATGAGGGACGGCTTAAATTGATCTATGCGAACCCTACGGAACTGTCTGATGAAGTCAAAAAGAAGATGAAAGGTAAGCCATTTAGAACTACAACGCCTTTTTTGCAAGCATTTTTGGATATCTTGTTTCTTGTCTTTTTGGTATAGAACGGCGAACGAAAAGCCGGATCACCTGATGTTGAGCAATCAGCATTACCTATGGACCCTCGCACCGTTACAGTTGAGCTGGAAATAATTTTATTTTCTTTTTCGATAGTAACCCTTATGAACCTAACTTACTATATCTCAACGTTCATACATTCGGTCATAAACGCGTATTTAAAACTAATCATATGAAAACAAACTGAATTAATTTGGTATCAAATTAAAATCAACTGTGTTATAAAGGAAATTAAATTGATTTTCAAATAAAATTAACGTTTTAGGTACAATTTAGCGCGACAATAACGCTTCAAAGTACTTTTACTTTTAATTTTTTAGCAATACGAGTTATTATCCCTTGTCAAGTCTCTTCAACTTGATAAAATTGTGTGGATTATAAATGTAGTATGTAATAAAAAGAATGTAGGTCATTGTTGGAGGTGCGTCTAATGAATGAATATCATTTCAAATTTAAAATCTGCGTTCGTGACTAGCTGACTAGATATTCAAGTCAATAGATACGTATATTACATGGCCATAGACATTATATGAGCCTACTTGGTCCCCCTTTTATTATCACGTGGTATGCAAGTTTTATATTATTATCGTAGTTTAGGTTCCGGTTCTTCAGTCATGAAGGGTCAAAGTCCCTTCAAGCGAAATTAAGATACTTGTTTACAATGAGAGAATGCGAAAGTCGAGACATATTGTAGCGAGATGGAGTGTTCGTTCCATCTCCTGCTCCAAGACTCAGATATTTGCGTAACCTTCGCTTAACATCAGCCCTCTTGGACCCCATCTGTGTGGGTCTATTGGCTTTTAAGTCATTCATGGTCGAATACGGTAGTTTCCAACTAGTCAAATTCAACACTTTTATCCAAATGTCAAAAACGATATTTTTCTATGAAATTTGTATGAAACACTGAGTTATCGTTATAGTATTTTTGCGTCAAATAGCTTACTTACTTATTTCATAAAATATCGAAAATTTAATGTATCGCTCGATTGATGAATAAAAGTAAAGGTTTTTTTTTTTAATTTTATTGTAGGTATTGAAACGTGGTCTTAATTTATTTTTGACCTAGGAAATAATCCAACTCAGGCATAAAAAAATCTAAAGTAAAACTGATTACTATTTATTACCAAACAATCGTTGTTGACAGTATGTTTACATAAGGAAATAAAATACAATGTGTTTACAAGAAATATGGAGATTTTATTGGAAGCAAACATACTACCAATGTTCTAAGTAATGTATTCATTCGTACTGTAATTATTTACTTTGTTGTTAGCGTACGAACGTTATTAGACAATGTTACTTCTAACGAAAAGTCAAAATAATGTCGTAATGTTTTTAGGCCTCAAGTTCAAGTTTGCACACGTGATTAGATAATATTTTATTGTAGAAAAACTTAACATCGCGAGTTTTATTCTAAAAGATAATATCCTTACGTTATTTTATGACTATTTGTAAATATTTTTTTTGTGTTTTGACACTGCTTGTGATTTTTTGTCACAGCCGCGGCTTTTTGTCACTAACCCCCGGTTTCCGGAAGGCCGATCAATGTTAAAATCTATTTAATCGCTTGTCAAGTCACCTGATTGGTTGACTGAATTATCAACAACCAATCAGATGACTTGACAAGAGATTTAACAGGAGATTAGTTAATTTAAGCGTCGACAAGCCTTTCAGAAACCGGGTGTTAGTTGAGTAAATTGAAGATATATGTGACAAAATATTTGCAACGTAACTGTCAGCTGACCTGTACTGTAGTTTTCATAGACCCATTCGCTCAATACTCACTCCTTAATCCCCAAATTCATAATCATTTTTGTTTTCATCAAATGCCTTCTCCTGCTCTGGGCCGAGGTCGCGGTGCCTCATTGCGCTTACCCCGCAACCTCGGCTGAAAGTTCATAATCCTTAAAACTCTCTTCGAAACACGATAAAAAATTATAATAAATACAAAAGTAATGCCCCTTATCTAAAAACAAAGTACTAAGCTTAAATATAAAAAATTTGGTTGATATGTCGAGCCTACCAGATTATAATATGGAGATTAATATTTATGAGGTTGTAATCTTTTGATAACATAATTGACAGACAGTTACGAATTGATTATGCAATCTCGTATCAGTTCAGGTCAATTCCTCCTTTTTTTATTGGTATAAATTGGCAAACGAGCCGACGGATTACCTGATGGTAAGCAATCGGCACACACCCGCAACACCAAAGGAGTTACGAGTGCGTTGCCGGCCTTTTGGGGATAGGGGTTGCGGATATAAGGATTGGGAAGAGATAGGGGAAGGGGTTGGGCCTCCGGTAACCTCACTCACACGGCGAAACACAACACTGTGGGTTGTTTTACGCCGGTATTCTGTGGGGCTGTGGTATTCAAAAATTTGCAACTTGTAAGGCAATATATATGTATGACATAGGATTGTTGTCAATGAAGTTTGTAATATTAGAGTATTGGAGAGTTGTTTTTTTTTCTAAAATGATTATAAGTATCCTATTATTATTATATTTTTGGTATTTGGTAACTTCTGCCAGCGGCTTTGCCCGAGTTACTGAAATGAAAAATCTGTTAAAGTTCGGTTGGCGACTTTATCTATGGTCGAAATATTACGAGTATCTATGCTGACACGAAGAAGAACTTATCGAGTCGCATGAAGTAAAGAACCTTGTATTTGACCGTGCCTGAATCATAGTGTTTTTACAACTTACTGTTGTCTTCTTGTTTTCTACAACTGTTATCTATGTATTTAAGACGTGCATAATGTACTCCATATAGATTAAAAAAATACGTACGATCGGGTCTGGTTCTGGCCGCGGCCAGCTACCCTTACTCTCCGTCCGCAGACCTGCACTTACGGTGGCCAGAGATCATCTCTCGATCCCCAACGCCCGCAATGTCGTCTACTCCGGGGGCTGAGGCGTGAGAAGGATAGTTACTTCAAGCGCTCCGCCTCCTCCTTTGCGAGCATCACTGCTTCGCAGAAAGAGGAGACGGCTTCCTAGTTCCTCTCGCTACGAACCATGGTCTCGACTAAGGCCGAGCGCGAGAGGTCGCCGCCGCCGATCATTTCCCCTAGGACACAGCAGTGCTCAGCCCAAGCAGGGCCACCGCCACTGTATGCTCCACCATATCTTTAGAGTGGTCCTCACAATGACGACATTCGGGCGGTTCCTCCCGCCGGATCCGAAACAGGAACCTACCGAAGCTTCCGTGGCCGGGGTAAGCACCTGCGTCAGGCGGAAGGTGAGGATACCGTGGCGTCTTTCAAGCCACTCCTCAAAGAGGGGTCTAACGCTGCTATGATAGCGTGCCCGGCGTGAATAAACGCTTGTGTTTTGTTTCGTTGTATGAGTGAGATTACTTCTAGTCTCAGGTCTTATTCTTCCATCCTATTGTCTAATCTTCGAATTTCAAACAACCCTTATAACATTGGCAAGGCGCTTGTAAAGCGTCTGGTGTTGCGAGAGTCCATTGGCTGTGATGATACCATTCGATGTATGTCTGATCGTTTGAAACTCATATAATATAACACATAGGACAAATATCTTAGTAAATGATCTCTGGGGAATAAGAGGCAATGTTTTGTTAATGTATTATTTAATTACAGGTCACATACTTCACCCTGAGACGATGGCGACGGCAGTGTCGGTGATCCAACTCCAATTGTACGTGAATCCAGTACTGCACTACCTAGTGCCCCCTGCACTTGTCTACCTGACCGTGCAAAGAGATCCTATAACAACGAGTAAGTACAATATTCTAAAGTCTGAGGTTAGAGCAAGTTATAATGGGTCGGCTCAACCGCATTGGTACCACGGCCTCACAGAAAACCGGCGTGAAACAACCACAGCGTTGTGTTTCGCCGTGTGAGTGAGGTTACCGGAGGCCCAATCCCTCTTATTTTCTTTTCTTTCTTCTTTCTCTTTTTAAAAAACGTTGCCCCACACTAGGATTTTCTCCTGTGTCGTGGGTGCGTTTACAAACAACCAATTCCACATACACATCGCACCCAGACCCGGAACAACAATTTGTGGATCACACAAAGAGTTGTTCCGTGCGGGAATCGAAACAGAGACACTTTGCGCGGCAGCCAGTTGCCCAGCCACCGCGCCAACCGTGCATTCAACTAACCCCTATCCCATCCCAATCCAAAAATATGCGAAACCCTTATCCCCAAAACGCAACGCACTCATAACTCCTTTGGTGTCCATGGGCGGCGACGATTGTTTACCATCAGGTAATCCATGTGCTCGTTTGCCGATTTATCCCATAAAAAAAGGTCTTGTCTCTAACTATAGTGACGTGGTATGTGACGTCACAACACGCTAATGTGGTGTACATTACATATATCAATAAACTTGTTTTCCATTAACCTTTTTTTTTATTAAGTTCTTTCCCTATATATATATATATATATATATTATCTTTTTTTTTAAAAAAAAACGTTGCCCCACACTAGGATTTTCTCCTGTGTCGTGGGTGCGTTTACAAACATACAATATCACATGCACATCACACCCAGACCCGGAACAATTATCTGTGGATCACACAAAGAGTTGTTCCGTGCGGGAATCGAACCCGCGCACGTTGCGCCCCAGCCAGTTGCCCAGCCACCGCGTCAACCGTGCAGTCACGTATTAATCGCGGTTTTGTCAAAATATTTTTATTTTGAGGTGTTAATAAGGTATGACTATGTCCTCCTCCGTACTCCTATGTATATGTTACTTTCAATATAATAGGTCTTTACCTATGAAATTGCTGTTTTGCTAGAAAAAAAATTAAACGAATTTTTTGATTTGAAATGCGATGAAAATGTTACTATGAATATGAAAAAGAATCCCATGTTTTTAAAACAAAATTAATTAACCTTAGCCTAACAAAAACTATTTTGATTTGAAATGGCCAGTACTGCAGAACGGCAATTTTATAAGTAAAGACCTATTATTTTTGAGTAATTAAAGCCTAAAGAACTATGACAAATAAACTCGCTTTCATTTTCATTTTAGCTAGAAGATTGTTAAATAATAGTTTTTCTACCATATCTCTGTCTCTCTTCGAAGTTAAAGTTCACCAATCGCAGTTACACCATTTGAGCCACTTTCAAATGTCAAAATGCCCTATCGTAGAGGGTCTACTGCCCAACTATGTATAATACATCTCCTGACTCATTCCTTTCTCTATAATTTCCCACCTTTCCACCTCTGTATTGTTATATGTATTTGAATAACATTTACCTTATTAGGTACTTTTTAAATTGCATATTCAGAAAGTATTATAAAATTTAACAATTTTTCCTTCTATATTTAGCAAAAGTTTTATAACCGTAAAAAAATTTGAAATGTTGTCTATGATGTCACTTTTTTGTTACCTAGATATACATAAAAAATAATAACGATTCGATTACGTATTTAATATTCAAATTGTCCAAATATTAAACTAATGAAATTAATTTACAGTTGGGTTGAAGGAGCAGTTCAGGCACCTGAGGAAAATGCTTAGTCACGAGTTCTTCTACATAGAGGCAGAGGAGCCCCAAGTAAGTTGATGATTATTGATGGTAATTTTATATAACTCGATTAGCTATTACCAAAATTCTTATCCAGCTTCAATCGATATACAGGGTGTTCCAGTATTCGACGTCAAGCCGCAACTGGGTGATTCTGCTGCTTATTGTGGTCATCCTTAGAAATATTTTTTTTACTTATTTGGGAAATTAAGTAGTAAGTGTATGTAGTACCATCCTTATGAAATGCGCCAACTTTTTGGTTTATTTGCTAAACTTGTACAAACGTAGTACATGTTTTTCTGTACAGTCAGTTGAAGTTTAGAGATTTAATAATCTGGAATACAATTTGGAATTAAAAGCCACACTTTTTTCAAAACCGGAGCAGTTAGGGTGGGATGTCGGGTTACACATTACAAAAAAACAATTGTTGTACGTTAAGATTTGTAGCAACAGTAGCTCAAAAATAATCACAGGGTGTTGGTAGATTTAAAAAATTAATATTGAAATAACTTTAAAAATAATTACGATATTTTGTTTTTATATTTTTCTGATGACAACAATTAGCAGCAGAATCACCCAGTTGCGGCTTGATGTCGACTTCTAGGACACCCTGTATACATATTACTAATATAACTTATAATAATATATATAACTAACCGATATAACTGATTATATAAAATCAAAATGTTACTTTGACATGTACGTTTAATATGTATGTATGTTTGTCAACGATTATCTCGTAATAAGCTTAACCGTTTTTGATGCGTTTTTCAGTAAAGTATTTGTTGTTACAGATATTCAAAGCGGCTATTGACTACTGTGTGTATAACGGCGTCTGTGAGTATGATAGCGAGACGGACGTATTGTCGCTCGGAAAGAATTCGAAGCGACAGTTTCTGTTGACGTGGACCATCTGGCCTTTCCTTGCCACTTTGTATGCCGCTATTGAAATTATGCGACAGGTATGTTCTGTACTCAAACAAAAAATATTTTTTTTTTTGTTTATTGTTAACCAGCTACCCTTGCGGGTTTCTCCCGCTGCTCGGCTCCATTTGATTATAGCGTAATATTTTATATATGCACCTATATATGCAGCCTATAGCACTTAAGAACATTGTAGCTACCTATCAGTGAAAGATTTTTTGCAGTCCGACCAGCGGTTCCAAAGATTGCCCTCTACATACAAACTTGCAAATTTTACCTCTTTATAATATTAGTATAGACTTACGTGCAATATACTTCCAGCAAAGGGGGCCGATACTACAGGCTGACGCGGTGAAACTGATCCAGTGTAAAGTGGAAGATTGGCAGGGACACCCATACAGTCTCAGCCTGGAGGCAGCCCGCGGCTGTCTTAGGGGACTCGCTGATACTGAAATTCTTATCAAACACCGATGGTAACTATTTACAAAAACAGCTTAACGAACTATTCACATTCATACTTGTATAAAAATACGGCTTAAGCTAACTGAACTTCGACAAAAGCTCTACTAGTTTCGAGTCACACCGGGGCTCTTATTTAATTTTATGAGCGTCGACGTGCCGACGTCGCGCCTTTTAAGCTGTATCTTTAACAAATTTTGTAAATATTTATATTATTTCTTATTACTATCTTTTTCTTGGTTTTGTTGGTAATTATGTGTCTTCAAATATTTTAAAATTATTTTTTCCAAATTTGTAAAACATATTTTTTTTGGGATTATGATTAGACTTTAAAGTACTAAAATCAAATAAATCATTAAATCAATTAATAAAAGAAATTGTTTTTTAACAAGCAAATTGTCTTGTTTGCTACATATCGAAATTAATCATATATTCATACTTATTTACTTATTGTATTTTTCTTTGTTACAGGGACGAACTTGCATATGAACCGGTACCAAAGAACCTGTTGTTATCTAAGATTCTGATCAGCTCAATCACACCCTGGCTCGACGTGGACTTCGATAATAACAACGTGGTTTTCAATCAAAGACTTCAGGCCCGACTCTAAGGCGATTGACGACAAAACGAACCAAATAAACAATGGTGATTCTTTAAAAGAAATTAACAATATGTTTAATTAACAATTTTGACAGTTTAAGGGTCAATTCACACCGAGACGCGACACGCTAAGACGATATTACAAGAGTATATTGAAGCGTCCACTGTGAGACATACCGTATGAAATTTATACCTTATCGTGTGCAATATAAAGTTGTTTTTTTGAATCGATCTTTCTAATATCCGCGCAGCCTCGTGTCACGTCTTGGTATGAACTGACCCTAAAATACAAATTCTGAATTAGATGAATTATAACGTGTCTCTTTTCTAAAGCAATCAAAAAAGGCCCATAACGCGCTCATGGTTTCTTTGATCATGATCGCTTATACCAGTCCAATTACTCGTTTGCCCCCTTTTGAACAAAAAAAAAAAATAAGATACTTAAACACACACAGCTTGGATAGTGACTAGTTGAAATGTTAAGGTTTTTTAAAGAATCACCATTCAAGGAGGTTAAATTCTTGCTTTATGATTTTCAGTCAATTCAAGAAAGTTTGAATGCAACTCCATAATAATAAAGATTTAATTTCAAAAATAGAACGTTTCAAAATTAACACTCCATTCCGTAAGAACAAACTTTTACGCAGTCTATTTGAACAAGTTTGAGCTCTAACTCATCGTTTTAAGAATTATCTTAGTAGCAAAATACGAGATCTTATCTTAAAACAAAAATCCAGGATGACTATAAAGTTATATTATTACAAATTCAACTCTATTACATTAACATAAGTTTGGTTTCATTCAAAATATTTTTATTTATCATGTCAATACAAAGGAATGGAGTATTTGAAGTACACTTTGCATTTTAATAAAAATCTGTGTCTACTACTTTTGAGTATGGCTTTCTTCTCAAACTGAGAAGGTTGAAAAGCTCAAGAGCTTTGATAAACCACGACAATTTGGCGATTTGGATGTTTCATACATTTTAAAATTATCATTATAATAATATACTCAGCATTTAATCAATTTTACCGTATTATCGAATTCTATTGTTTCCATCTCTTTCTTACAACAAGAAAAAGAAAAGGATAACGATAGATATTAGTTGTAAGTTTTGTATACCTATTGTCGTCATAATTCTGCAATACGCTTGTTGTATTTTGTTTTTCTTTGTTTTATTACGGGTTACAATATGGTTGACTTTAGTATTTATTTGTCGTTGACTTAATTTTTAATCTAAGTGAACCTCGGTTGCCAATTAGTTTGTCTATATTAATTTATTTTAGTTTTAAGTGTAAATATGGGTTTTATGTTAGAATTAGTTATTAATGTATGCAACGAAATATGATTTCTATAACATTAAATTAAATAGAATTTACTGACAACTTACGTAACTTTTCGAGCGTGCTCGTCTATTTTCATGTTACTATCGGGATTCATAGTTATAAAAAGTATGTTCGGTAACTGATGCTGCGCAGTCAACTTATAGTCAACACTAAAATGAAACAGTTACGTGAGACAGTAGTAGATTTTAATTAATTTTATGTCTAACTGCCGTACTCAGAATCATTTAATGATCTAAGAAAACAGCTAAGACCGTAGGAACAGTTTTCGAAACAAAATGTGAAATTATAAGTCCAGGTTTCCTCACGATGTTTTCCTTCACCGTATGTCAGTGGTGTCTAAATAATCATTATAGAAAGTATATGTAACTCGGAAAAAGGTCACATTAGTACTTGCCAGGTTTCGAATCCGCACCCCCATGCATGAGGAGGCCCTCCCGGCCACCACGACATAATAAAAGGAACCTTCCTTTAATCATTCATATATCATTAAATATCTCTAAGTATGGCATTCTAAATAATTATTGATTTGTTACAAAAGAAATGGTTTGGAGTATTCTAATAATTTGTTGTTTATCAGTCTATTGCTCAATTTTCTACTATATCTTAAGATTATAGTTATGACTTGGAAATGAATGGACTGAACTGGGTTAGCACAGTGGATAGACGACCGACTGCTGCGCAACGCTCGCTACTTCGATTCCCGTGCGGAATAAAAATTTTATGACCAGCAGATAGTTGGTATAGTTTTGATGTGATATTGTGGAGTATGTGTTTTTAAAACACAATGATAGGTAAAAAAAACAAAATGTTGTGAGAAGAATAGAGAGATTGACTGTGTGTTTCAATTTATTATTTAATTTTTTTCAGTCTGCGATCTGTATTTTATTTTGAACTATCGCATCGCATCTTGTTTAGGCGTTTTACTACATTTTACCAATATACAAATACATACTTTTAACTCAATAATTCGTAAAAAAATGTGTCAAGTAAGTGTAATCTGAATATTATTCAACATGTATTATTAAATAAGCCCACTCATAACTATTATTATTACATAAAAAATTAGGTATTGTTATTTTTTGTGCATATAATTTCAAATATTCATATTCGATAATTGTTGACTTTTTAAGTTGACTTCATACTATGTGTATTTCGCAGCCAATTAGAATAATTGGTCGTTTAATTAACGGTCTAGCCAATGTAATAAATGATATCGTGGTAGAAACCTGGTAACTGACGGCAAAACGATCAGTGCTGGTCTTAGTTCTAACCTAACCTAACCTACCATACTCGCAAAAGATCGGTTTTAAATTTTAATGTCTATTGTCAACTATTCAACTGGCGGAAAAATATCAGCCATTTAATCAACTGGCTAATCATTCAGGCTGTTAGTTAAATGACGGATTGCGAAAGATGACTGCGACGTATCTATTACTTTGAATTGTTTATACAGTTGATTCTTGTGATAAATAATAAAGTAAGAAGTTTAAAGGAATTCTACACATAAGATTTTGAATTGGTTGAGAACACAGGTTGAGAAGTTTAAAACAATAGAATAATAAAAATAATAGAATACAATAACAAAAACACAATTTTTGAGCTATTGGTGATTGAAATTATCAAGAATCAACTGTTTAAGTCTTTTCTGATATTTAAAAATACATTAATTTTCTACAGAAACTCTATTTTATGTTATTTTTTCCAGTATATCTATGAGCATGTAACGTTCTAGTCTTATCACAGTAGTACTTATTATAATAATAATAATATTTTAACCATTTGCCATTTATTCTCATATTTGTGTGGTAGATTGTGATATTTGGTGTATTATACCCGTGCTCCACTTACCAATACACTATAAGTGACTATAACGATTAAAAAATATACTTCGGGAAGAAATTGTCCACGACATATCTTCTACCTCATTCTTGCCTTAATTGGCTGGTTTGAGCACAGTTCAGATTCTTGGAAGTGGTAGAAAATGGAACAGTGGTTATCCAGATTAGTAAGATTATCATCTATGATTCTATATTTCAAAATATGGTCCTGATTGTAATAAAACATCTCAAGCAGTTTCGGAATATGTCGCCCCCGTTAGAAACACGTTTCCAGGGGCCACGATAATTCAGTTTGCCAATCAACCCGGCATACACTTTCCGAGGTCGTTACATACAGGAATATTGAATATAGGTTATTGGTCAGTCCCTAACAACAACAAAAATAGACTATTTAATAATCCTCCATCAATAAAAGATTGGTCGGTGATTGAAAACCATCAGCCGTTTTTTTTGTTAATCTGGCGTCCGCCCTGGGCCGCGCGATGAGTGTCAGGCTCTTACTGATTATGCTTTGGCGATTTGCATTGATTAGGGCTTTTAAAAATAAGTATTAAAAAAAAATTATGCTGGAGCAAAAGCACCCGAAACCACTGAAGTACACCAAATACCACCTTATGGTACGTTTACACGCTTGCCGAGACTTGTCAAACGTCTACAAGCCCCAACCCCAAGCACAAACACGCGCCGACGTATAAATATATCGCAAACGCTTGCCACAAATTTCTTTTGACCTGTGTGCAAAAACCGATACCTGACCAGATCGCCGACAAGTTTTTGCAAGCCACGCAAAACACACGGTTCACACGACTGTGTTTGTAGGTCTCGGCAAGCCTGTAAACGTACCATTACATTACATCGTATAATAAATGTGTAGACGTGAAAAAAAAATTGTTCGAATGTGTACTCAAAATTTTCCTTTAAATTGTGATTTCAATTTGCCAATTCCACTAGTGTTAGTATATATAATATTAGGTGCCTATTATTGTGGGTGGTTTATATAAAATTTCGTATTCAGAATACAAAAAGTATTTAATTTTTTCAGTGATAAATATAGTATGCATTTTGTATTTCAGTATTACTCAGAATTATTACAATTATTTTCATCGCCATAAATACCTAAATAAATTCTTTTTGGGATCAAAAGTGTGTGTGTAATAATAAAGTACATAATATCTATTTTTTTTTCAATTACTATGTATTTTTATGTTATATGTCGACAGTATTCTTGTGTTATTTGTTATTTTGTGTTTGTGATTCAAACTGCATAATTTTGTTACCATGTAAGTTTTGAATACACTTTGAATACAATATTGTCTTTTATTAAAATGCACTTGAATAACATCTAGCCCGTTACAATTTGCAAAAAATTCATACGGAATTTCTTAATTTTTTTTTGCTGATATCTCAAAAGCAACTAAATTTTGAATAGATTTGAGTACTAAATGAGGTATTCTATTCCGTCTTTTGTGAGTGTCAGACTTTTATTGACTAAAACCACCCTGTTGCTTTTGTTCTACACAGAGGCTGGCCGCAAACGTGGCGATTATCTATCCTAACTCTGGGAATGACATTGGACTTGATTGGACTCACTTGTAAAATCCTCATTTATAGCTTTTTATACTTAGATCTTCCGACACTGCAAAGATAAACAACAACCGACCGTCCTACATTAGTTACATAAGCATCTATACGTCTTTATATTTTCGTAACTCAATAGTGATACCTAAACCCCGTAAGTAAAATTGCGCTGAGGGCTTGATTCAATAAAGTTTCGAACACACTTGAGACAATGAAGTGTGGAAATAATGATTTTGTAAGTAGACCTGGATTTATCGTCATCCACATTAAATACTGTTTTCTTGAGGATTTTTTATTTACTTGTAACGAGTCGGTGGTTGGCGATCATCTTGCATGGCGGCGAGCATGT